CGCTCTTGACTTGTCAAGCTTTGACCCCTGTCCCTGCGAAGCCCTATCAAATCCTTTCAATCTGTTGGGAAGTCTATTGCCACATTGTGGGATAGTGTAACAATAGGACCCCATATTTGTTCAATCCCAGTCTCTACAGTCTACATACTCGACACTCCAATCCCCGGCTTGCGCTATTACTACAAACATCATTAACTATGCCTCATATCGATGAAATTGTTGAGCCAGAGGCCAAGGAGCTCTGGCGGCCTTCCTCTCCTGAGACAACCCAGATCTATGATTTCATGACTAAAGTGAACAAGAAGTATGGCTTGTCATTGAATAACTACGATGCTCTTTGGAAATGGAGTGTCTCTGAACCAGCCCAATTTTGGGAAGAAATCTGGCACTATACGAAAATCAATGCTCACAATCCATACCAACAAGTGAGTAATTTCCATTTGAAATTGGATGCATTATCTTGGACACCATGAGATACCCGGCCCTAACCCGATCTATATAGGTCCTTGGTTCAAATGACGTGCTATTTCCTAGACCTTCATTCTTTGAAGGCAGCACTTTGAACTTTGCCGAGAATCTCCTTTATCCCGCCACCTCGCCGGATGAAGATTCCGTAGCAGTGATTGGCGCCACCGAAGCTGCCCGCGAATTCATTTCGTGGAAGGAGCTGCGAGAGCGAGTTCGACTGTGTGCAAATGCTTTGAAGGAAGCAGGTCTGAAGACCGGCGATCGTGTCGCTGGTTTCGTAGGCAATCATGCTAATACCGTCGTGGCAATGTTGGCCGCAGCCTCAATCGGGGCCTTTTGGACTGGCGTGTCACCTGACACGGGTGTGCATGCTGTCTTGGAACGCTTGAAGCAGATCCAACCTAAGATTATGTTTGCAGACAATGGCTCCTTTTACAATGGCAAGGTGCACAGCTCATATGCTAAGGTATGGGAGATTGTCTCTGAACTGCCAGACCTTGAGCTTTTGGTGGTCTTTGTCACTACCCCAGAACTTGAAGTCAACCTAGATGACCTTCAGCCTGCAAATGGAAAAGCAAAGGTTTATGATGATTTCGTGTCCGAGGTCAAGAACCCTCAGGCGCCATTGGAGTTTGCAAGCTTGAGACCGGATCATCCTGTCTATATCTTGTACTCGTCCGGTACAACAGGAGCTCCCAAGCCTATCGTCCATGGGTCTTTGGGCACATTGTTGCAACACAAGAAAGAGCATCTCCTTCACTGTGACATTCGACCAGGTGACCGCTTGTTCTACTTCACAACGACAACTTGGATGATGTGGCACTGGCTGGTATCGGGCTTGGCCAGTGGAGCCACAATCGTCCTGTACGATGGCTCACCCTTCCGACCCTTTGATATTGAAGGCGGAAAAGGAGAAATGGCAATGCCGCGACTGATTGAAGAGCTTCAAATCACCCATTTTGGTACATCAGCTAAATACCTCTCTCTCCTCGAGCAAGCTGCTTTGAACCCTCGCAAGCATGCCGATAGGCCAGTGTCGTTGAAGACCCTACGGGCTATCTTCAGTACTGGATCCCCATTGGCACCATCGACATTCGAATACGTTTATTCTTCTTTCCACCACGACATCATGCTTGGTTCCATCACCGGTGGCACAGACATCCTCTCTCTCTTCGCCTCCGGCTGCCCCATTCTCCCAGTTTACAAAGGAGAAATCCAATGTCGCTCTTTGGGGATGGACATCTCAGTGTTCGACTATGCTGGCAACGATATCAGTGCAACAGGCGAACCCGGTGATCTTGTCTGCGTCACACCCTTCCCGGCCCAACCAGTTATGTTCTGGCCCCCGGGACCAACAGGCTTGGAGAAGTACCGGAAGAGCTACTTCGACGTGTTTGGGCCCACGGTCTGGCACCATGGAGACTATGTGCGTTTGAACCCACAAACTGGAGGTGTGGTCATGCTAGGCCGCAGCGACGGCGTACTCAAGCCATCCGGGGTACGATTTGGAAGTGCCGAGATTTACAATATTCTACTCAAGCATTTCGCCGACGACGTGGAAGATTCTCTTTGCATTGGTCGGAGGCGAGATGGCATCGATGCCGATGAAACGGTCGTTCTGTTTGTCCGACTTACTGCTGGCAATGAGTCTGGTATGCCATCGGATCTCGCGGCACGCATTCAATCCACTATTCGGAAGGAACTTAGTCCTCGCCATGTCCCTGGCGTTATTGACGCATGTCCCGAGATTCCGGTGACTTCCAATGGCAAGAAGGTCGAGAACGCTGTCAAGCAGATCTTGTGTGGGCTTAACATCAAGATTGGTGCAAGTGTTGCAAATGCTTCGTGTCTTGATTGGTATAGAAACTGGGCTTCGGAACAACCTTAGTTATAAAGTTCTTTATTGAATAGAGAAATTGGCGTTTCGTTGTTATTTCTAGATTAATGTAATCAAGATTCTACGTCTATATGTTCCCAACTATATATTCGAGCCATGCAGGTCTTAGCTTCGGGGTAAGCGGACTAGACGCCGGGGCAAGCCCTGCTGCGTCTAAACACAAATGAAGAAAACAATTACGCAAAAGACGGCTTCTTGTCATAAACATTAATAATTTGATCATAAAGGATTTATCATCGTTGAAGAACATCTGGGCCATCCGTCATGCAACGGATTAGCTAAGCATCTCGGATCGAGGCTCCATTAGTTACGATTCTTCGCCGACAACCCGTCCGAGCTACATCACCTCTTCCGGATCTATTCAGTGCAACAAGAAATCCTGAATTGACCAGGCTGTTGCATTTGTACAGAATTAGCCATTATGCGCCGCACAGCATTGCGGGCCATCGAGTCCACGAAGCCATTGACACGAGCTCCTCGCGCCGTGTCAAGAAGCTTCTCTACCATCAATGATTCGGCCAAGGTAAGAGAGTCCCATTAGGTCCTGCAACGTAACGTCATTTGTAACTGACAAATTGTTTATTTATCCGCAGGATCCCGCCGAGTTAGAACAAATCACCACACTTCCTAATGGAGTTCGCGTCGCCACGGAATCATTACCGGGTCCCTTCGCTGGTGTCGGAGTCTACGTCGATGCCGGATCTCGTTACGAAGATGAGAGCCTGCGCGGAGTCAGCCACATTATGGACCGTCTAGCCTTTAAGTCTACCAAGGCGCGCACCGGAGATGAAATGCTTGAGATTCTTGAGTCCCTAGGCGGTAACATCCAGTGTGCCTCATCCCGAGAGTCATTGATGTACCAGTCTGCCAGTTTCAACTCGGCAGTTCCTACCACACTCGGTCTGCTCGCAGAGACCATCCGCGATCCCCTCATCACCGAAGAGGAGGTTATCCAACAGCTCGCAACAGCGGAGTACGAGATCGGCGAGATCTGGGCGAAGCCGGAACTCATCCTTCCGGAATTGGTGCACATGACTGCATACGCCGACAACACTCTGGGAAATCCACTATTGTGCCCCGAAGAACGGTTAGGCGAAATCAACAAGTCAGTGGTGGAGCGGTATAGGGAACTTTTCTTCAACCCGGACCGGATGGTGGTTGCCTTTGCTGGACTGCCACACGGGGAGGCTGTCAAGCTCACAGAGAAGTACTTTGGCGATATGAAGCCGAGAGACATCAGCAAAACCAAGGGTCCTGTACTGTCAGGCAGTGGAATCGAAACCACACTGTCTGATTCCCGAACAGTCGCCCACGAAGGCCAGGTGCCGACCGTTCCTTCCTTCACACCCTCATCGACAATCACCAGCCCCGCTGCTTCCCAAAAAACACACACTTCGCTCTTGTCGAAGCTTCCATTCCTCAAGAACCTCACTTCCTCCAAAAGCTCTTCAGTCGAGCCTCTCCACTCATCCCTAGTCGAGCCCCACGCGCTAAACCTCCGCCAACCTGCTCACTACACTGGTGGATTTATTGCCCTCCCTTCGATTCCTCCGCCCGCGAGCCCCATGCTTCCTCGCCTGAGTCACATCCATCTTGCATTCGAGGCTCTCCCCATCTCCTCGCCTGATATCTATGCTCTCGCTACTCTCCAGACCCTCCTTGGTGGCGGTGGCTCATTCTCGGCTGGTGGCCCTGGAAAGGGTATGTACTCGCGACTCTACACGAACGTGCTGAACCAGCACGGTTGGGTCGAGAGCTGCATTGCTTTCAACCACAGCTACACCGATAGTGGAATCTTCGGAATTTCCGCATCCTGCAGCCCAACCCGCATCACTGAGATGCTCGAGGTCATGTGCCGTGAGCTGCAGTCCCTGACTTTGGACACTGGCTACAGCTCGCTGCAAGCGCAGGAAGTCAACCGTGCGAAGAACCAGCTCCGTTCCTCGCTGCTCATGAACCTGGAGTCTCGCATGGTCGAGCTTGAGGATCTTGGACGCCAGGTGCAGGTCCACGGCCGCAAGGTCAGTGTCCGGGAGATGTGTCAGCAAATTGAGGCCCTCACTGTTGAGGACCTCCGCCGTGTGGCTCGCAAGGTCTTCGGTGGCCAGGTCCACAACGATGGTAAGGGCACTGGTAAGCCTACTGTTGTGCTGCAGGAGGGCGAGTTGGAGGGTTACAAGCTCCGGACCTTCCCCTGGGAGGAGATCCAAGAACGGATTTCCCGGTGGAAGCTTGGCCGGCGGTAAATATTAGATTATACGCCTCTGGTCTCGCGTGGATTTGTCGAGCATAAGGGTCATGTGGGTGAAGTGGTTGCATCTAAATGATGATCTGTAATTATAGACCATGGCCAGCATTTCGACTCTGTAGAATACACCTCTCTTTTAAAACAGGCTTTATATGAAAACCTAGCCTTTCCCAACTCTTACCTCTTATCTACTTTTTTTATTCAATCACCCATTCATCTTTTAATACTCAGTTCATAAGATCCAAACAAATGACATCGTTGTCGGTGGGTCCAAGCTCTTCGCCGCTTTTCGGCAAAAAAGTCGGAGCGAAACCAGAGCGACTTTCCATCATTCAACCATCACCTTTAACTAGATCCCCTTCGTCATCCTCATCCAAACCGCCCAAAATGGTCAAACTTACTGAAGTCGAAGACGAGCACTTCACCGACAAGCCCACTGCCACCAAGCACGACGCTCTCCTGGTCTCTGATGACGAGGATGACTACTCAGACACTGGTTAGTACCGAATCCTGAACGCCCATACCCAGACGGAACTCGCATCGCGCCATTGTCATTTGCGTGAAGAATTCCTTCGGTGGGAGGATACTCTGCTCCCCGGATTTCCTCCCATCGTCGCAGTTTCCAATGCCAACCCCCAACAACGCGACCTCGAAACCCCAGAAATGAACACATCAGTCGCAAATAAACATCAAGAACCTTATCTGACATGGAATTCAATGAACAACAGACTCCGAGATCTCCGACGATGAGGATGTCGAGCTCGAGGCCGAGTCGGTCTACGAGCGTATCGCCGCTCTGAAAGACATGATTCCCCCCTCCGCCCGCCGCACCGTCTCCAACACCGTCTCTTCCATCACAGACCTCACCAAGGCCAGCTTTTCATTCAGCGGCAAGGCCCTCTGGATCATCAGCACCAGTGCTTTCTTGCTCGGTGTGCCATTCGCCTTGGCCTACGCCGAGGAGGAGCAGTACATCCAGATGGAGCGCGAGCAGGGAATGATCAAGGGAGCCAACGAGGTATGTGTTTTGTATTTCCTTTTAATTTTGATTTCTTGGTTTTATCGATATTCCAACAATTATCTTGATCCCCGATTCGTGCTGCCATTTGCACAATTGACACCGTGTACATTGCCTCGGGTATTCGCATCCCGGCAATATTCAAAATTATTTTCTCAACACTATTAGCACATGCAATTTTCGCGCTCTTCACTAGAATCCTAGTCATTGAAGACTCATACTGATTATGATTCCTACTTACAGATGCTCACCCCCGGCACCGAAACCGAGAAGCTTGCTCAACCCACTCTGTAAATTAATACCACCTCGGAAAGCAGAGAGATTGGCGAAGAATCCAGCGCGACACGATCATCGACCGCGAGACTTGGTATCATGCAAACAGCATACCCAAGCGCATGTCGGCGCGATTCTGTTACATCCTGGGATTTCCAATCGCCTATTTTGGCCAGATCTCTAAATACAGGACTATAAGCACTCGGAAAGAGTTGGTTTCCCGATTCTCTTCTTGTCTTGACTTGTTCGGATCTTTGTTATACTTCTTGTTTTTTTTTTAACTTCCTTTTTATCTCGCATCTCTCATGCTTTCTGACATTTTGGCTCCGGCAGCTTATGCATGCATGTATTTGTACAACCCCAATCATCTTTCTTCCTGTTTCTCTATACCTTTTTTTCTTCTCTCAATGTGCATGTCCAGGTAATGAAAAGGATGGGTTTGGTTATTAATTTGCATTTTGTAGTCCTAGCTTTCTTAAAGGGGTTAGATAAAGAAGGCTTACAAATACCTAAAACTGGATATAGATACTAAGTAGGAGTTTCTTGAGATAGCCTGCTTGCTATTGCTATGCTGAGCCCGCCGGCCCTTGTAGTAGGGTAGCTGGACATGGCTGGGAATGTGACAGAAAAAATGGGTATCATTGTGAAAGATCAAGCAGCGGAGAGAGTTCGCAAAAGGAAAGCGACGTCATGGAACTAGTTACAAGGGTCGTAGTCTTCGTGGGAATTCATGATAAAGTCATTAGAGGACAATTATTGACCCTCGGGTAAGCTGGCTCTTGGATATGACCATTTCATCACCCGTAGATCGACTGAATACAAAGACAGGCCTGATTAGCATCATGAAAGTATCTTGAACACGCAACAAGAACATACCTCTTTCTCGCGGGCAGACTTGAGATTAATGTGGAAGTCACGCCAAAGTTTATCGACTTCACCACTTCCAGTCATGCTATCGAGGACATCATTTGCATTCCTCGTCTTCCGCTTGACGCTCAAGTCATTTCGTCGTAGGATTTCATCGGCTTCCATGTGGCCCGTACGTTCGAGGAAGTCGATAACCCATTCATTGAGATGGTAGCGCCAGTGCGTAAGAGTGTGCGCGAGCTGGGCTCTCGCCTTGCATTGTCTGTCGAAACAAAAGGAACCGGTTAGAGGGTGAGCTCGATTGAAATGACTGCCCAAACGAAACTTACTTTCCCAGGAAATACCGGACATTCTCTGGAGGAATGACATGGCCATCCCGGTCCCGTTCCTTTCCATCGTCTTCATCACTAGAATCATCACCATCATCGCTATCATTATCGTCATCTTCCAGGGGCTCTAGCGTCTGCAGGGAATACGCCTTCCCGTAGAGCTTTATGTCACTAGAAGCGGGATGCCCAGAGCGCCTGCAAGCATCACAGGGATGGTTCTCCTCCGTGGGGAAGGCAGCGATCTCGATGTGTGGCCGGGCCTGGAGGGCATAGACAAAACTGGGGTTCCAAACGGAAGAGATCAGCTGGGAACCAGCCCGACCTTTGACTTCATCTTCCAACTTCATGAACGCCATCTTGTACATGGCGTCAGAGCGAGGGAAGGCTGGATTGAGTTTGTTTTGCACCATCCAGCCAATGACATCGCGGAAGTATTCTTTTGGTTGCTTGTATGCATGTCGGGTGAACTCGAAGGGGATCTCCTCGGTGGGAACGCCGAGGTCGTGCTCGTCTTCTAGGACAAAGTCATCTTCGTACCGATCAAGGTTCTCGTTGGCGTCGATGGCTGATTCTACGTCGCTGTCGTCGTCGTGATGCCGCCAGAGACCACGACCAGAGGGACTGGCATCGCTGCCAGGGCGTGCAATCTCCTGCACATCTGAATCGTCTTCATCTTCGTCATATTCTTCTTCCTCTTCGTCATCCTCGGGTTCCACACCAGCCCGCCTGCGTCGAAGGGCTTCAAGGTGCTTCATTCTCTTGTCTCGGGCAGATTCGAAATTCCGGCCACGAGTTCGACTTTTCTTAACAACTACGCATGATTAGCATTGGCATAATAAACGAAACTCGTGGGCCAATTGATTCCTACCTGAATCCTGAAGGTCCTCCAAATCCTCTGCGATATCGAGTTTGGCCTGCTTCGAGATGTGGCGGGGGGTTTGAGGAGGTTGGGAAGTTTCTTTCTCCTGTCCACGTCGGAGTCTCTTCACTGGCGAGGAGGGCAATGGCTCATCTGAATCCTCATCGTCACTTTTGGATATTTCGGCTGGCCTTGCTACCCTGCGCCTCTTGACGGTCGAAGGAGCCACCGACTCGTTTGAATCATCGTCGCTGAGTAGAACAGGTGAACTTGAAGAATGGCCACCTCGGGTAGACCTGCGCCGTTTGACGACCGAAGAGGCCACAGGTTCATCTGAGTCGCTGGGGTCAATCGGTGAGCTCACGGCCTTTCGCTTGAGTGTTCGGCGCGGCCGGGAGAGCTCCTCCGAGTCAGAAACATTTGTCTCAGTATGTTTCTTTGGGAATTGTAATGATCGCTGTGACTTCTTCGACAAAATATTCTTTGCATCTTGGGTGTCCTCAAGCTTTGGTGGGCTGAGGACCACCACATCGAGGTTTTCATGTGGCGCGGCTTGCTTTCTCTTCTGGGAGGCAGGGATGATAGGTTCGTCCAAGGATTCATTGTCCGATTGGTCTTCTATAAACAGTTCGTTTTCTGAATCTTAGCTTTCAGGCTGCATTGATGAGACACAGTTTCACCGTACTTGCGGGTTTATCATTGGATCTCGTCTTGGTGGGGAGCTTCGGCCGTTCCTTCTCGGGCGTAGTCTCCGACTTGATTTTGGGAGCCTTTGGAGGACGGTATGTGCCCAAGCTTGGGTTGTCGTATTTGAGTGTTGCATATCGGTTGCTTTGCTCCGGACTCACATCCGCCGAAGGCGAAGCGGCTGTAGGAGCAAAGGCAAGTCGCGTCTGCTTTTTTTCGATTTGCGGGGTGGCATTGCGACTGAGGCTCAGGATAACAGTAGAGGCTGGATCAGAAGGCAGAATATTGTGTTCATATATCCAGGTAGGTCATAGCATAGTCAAAGAAAAAGAAATATGTTCAAAGAAGTATGAAGCTTGAGTCTGTCACGTCAGTGGGACCTTCGCCGTCGCGGACCGCGTTGGGAGAACCACGAGAGCACGTGATCTATATACTTACAAGATCAAATCAACTTGCGAGCTTTGGATAAAGAAATCTTTGTGAAATGTATGCTTGACATAGAGAGATATTTGCCAGAGGTTCTGCTTTTGGTGAAAAGGGTGAGACGAAAGTAAGAGTAGTATATGGTAACTGCAAATGTTCTGATACTTAACTCTAGTAGTGCACAGTGAATGGAGTAATTGATCGTGTATATCTTTGAATATATGGATGTTACGTTGAAAATTTCATTCAAAGAAAGTATAAGTCTACATGCAGCTATGCGGGCATAGTTTGACAAATTTATGCAATTATCATAGAAGATATAGTTAGTGGTTTGTTCCTACAGAAACTATACAAATGATATTGGTCTACAAGATATATAAAGCTCTATATATTTCCAAAATACGTCTTTGTATGTCGAATATTCAATGGATCTTTCTATCCAAATTATTTTCCTTTGCCAGAGTGTCTTTTTTGAGCCTATCGTCGACGAAAATAAATTTGAAGATATATCATCTATCCCCTGCTTTGGGTCTATTTCCTATTCCTATACTCCGCAGTTAAAGACCATGTAGCATACATTATTGCCTTCTGCTTCTCCCCCTGTGTCTATAAGAAAACATATTGTGACAAGTACGGTGTACACATACCTGAATAGAAATATGCCAAGAAAATCTGTAATATCAGCAGGATATAAGAAGTAATAAAATGATGTCCTTGGGACTTGATCTACATCTATCCAGGGCTATACGGATAAATTCAGCCCTATCTACAGCCTGAAAGAATCACAGAAGCCCAATCGCTTAATATCTCCTATTTGTTTTAGTTTAGCGCCATATTCTTCTCAAACATCTTATTTCTACCGTATTCCTTCACCATTTCCCCTATTGGTGGAGTTGACTTTCTCCCAAGCCACTGTCATTCAGCCCGCCGATTCGTGGAAACTCCCCAATTTCATATCGCCGGAACAAAAGCTTGAAAAATATCCTCGAACCCCAGATCACTATTACCCCAGGTCCGGCACGCGCATTTGAGAAAGCTCCAAGCCAATGGGAAATCGAATAGGCGAAAGATACGCTTTGCCCATGTGCCATTGACTCCAGATACCCCACCACTCAGCGATCTTGGAGACAAAGGTTCCCCGTTATCCGAATGCCAAAATAATCTTAGTGCATCTGGGGTTGATTCTGGGGATTGTCTGATCCACATGGGGTTTCTTGCTCACATGGGGGGTTTCACTTTTCGCCCCCGGAATATGCCCTAATCCTGACTTGCTATATAGCTGTGGTCTCCGCCCACTCAGGTGCACCCCTGGAGTGTAGCTCATCTTTAACTGCTCTCTCACACTCGAGACAGTTGCTCATCTGTCACTGCCAATTTTATTAACTATATTCGTGGAGCTTCAACCTCATTGTTAAACAGTCCTATCATTAATATTAGGATGGGTGTTTCAATGACCCGCAAGAGAGCGTACAACTGGTAAGTGTACAGTCATCTATTCCGAAGAATATACTCTAATCCGACTGTTTAGGTACATCTCTTGTGTTGCAGCATCATGCATGGTGCTCTACGGCTACGATGCATCTGTGTTCAACTCTGTCCAGGGTTCCAAGAACTGGCTGGCTTGGATGAACAACCCCAATGCCAACACAATCGGCTCAATTAATACAGCATACACGGTCGGCGCTATCTTTGGTGGTTTCTTCCTGGGAGGACCATGTGCAGACTTCCTGGGCCGCAAGCTTGGAATGGCCATTGGCTGTGGTTTGGTCATTATTTCCACCTTTATGCAAACCTTTGCTCCTCGCCACAATCTTGCCATCTTCCTTGCAGGTAGATGTATCATCGGTATTGGTCAGGGTATTGCATTGAGTAAGTCTTGTTAATCGCGTGGTTTCAAATGCATAAACTGATGGAATTACTTGCAGCTGCTGGCCCTATCTACATTGGTGAATTGGCCCCAGCAGAGATCCGTGGTAAGATCATGACCTTCTGGCAGATGTTCTACTCTGTTGGATCGTTCATTTGCTTCTGGGTCAACTTTGCCTGCACCAAGAATGTTGATAAGTTGGGCGAGTGGGACTGGAGACTGGTTGTTATTTTCCAGCTTTTGGTCCCCGTTATCATCCTTGTTCTCCTGCCGACTATCCCCGGCAGCCCTCGTTGGTGGGTTCCCTTTCACAATCTACATTAATTTCGAGCCACTCTGACCATCACTAGGTATATCCAGAGAGGTAACAACATCGAAAAGGCCCGAGAAGCTCTGCAAAGAGTTCGTGATACTGAGGAGGAAGTCGAGCAAGAGCTGATGGAGATTCGTGAGGCCATCGAATACGAGAGGGAAGCCATCTCTAGCAACTACTCTGCTCTCTGGAAGGACAAGTCTCTACGCAAGCGCATGGGTCTGGCCCTGGTCCTCAATGCCGGCCAACAGATCACCGGACAAGGCTCGCTCAACTCATACTCTACCAAGATCTACCAGAAGGTGTTTACCAGCGACAGTCAGATTGCTCTTATCAACGCTCTGAATGCCACCTTTGGAATCTTCTTCACCCTGAACGCCGTCTGGATTATTGATCGGTTCGGAAGAAAATTCCTTCTGATTGTTGGTGGTATCGGTATGGGTCTCTGCATGATCATTGTCTCTGCCGTCGAAACTGAAACACCACAACTCGCCGATGGATCCAAGTCGACGCCTGTCGGTATATCGATTGTATTCCTTATGTTCTTGTTCATATTCTTCTGTAAGTCCCCTCTACTCACTATCCCCACAAACGAAACTCCACTAACATCATTTCCCAGACAAACCATCTTGGGGCGCAACAGTATGGATTTGGACGTCCGAGATTTTCTCAATGAACGTCCGCGCCCAGGCTGTGGGCATGGCATCTCAAACACAGAACGTCGCCAACGCTATTGTTCAACAATTCTTCCCTCTGTTCCTCGAAAACGAGGGCTTCTTTGCCTTCTACATGTTTGCCGGTATCAACTTCTTACTTGCTGTCTTTGTTTGGTTCTTTATTCCGGAGACCAAGATGGTTCCTCTCGAGGAGATCGATACCCTGTTTGGTGGTGCCAACCACGTTACCCAGGGAGAGGAGGTGATGGCACAGCAGAAGGGAGCTCGTATGAGGGACGAAGGAGACGAGAAGGCGGACGCTGTCACTGTGGAGCATGCTCGAAGCTAGGTAATCTGTGTTTACATGCTATGATTTTGGTATACCAATTGCGATGTTTGTGTCTGGTAATGTTATAAGCCATACATACTTGTATTTAGCAACCAGTCCTTAATGAAAGCGCGCTGAGCGCGCTTTATGAAGTCCGTTTACTTGTTAATATGTTGTTCGATGATCCCATTTCCCATTGCTTGCTAGCAGGCTGAGCGTTTGTTTGCTAGATTCAGGGTATAAAGGCCCCGGTTTTTCATATATTGATGAACCAAGACTCTCTCTCTCTCTTCAGCCAGTAGCTACAACAGGTTATGAGGCTCTTTTACTACCCCTTAATTTCATCAACAATCCATTGAGATCGAAGTTTATCATTTGCAACACCGTCAGAGTGTTTGCCTTTTTCAAAACCCCTTTTTTCAACTCGTTTATCAAGAGAGAAATAGATCACTTTGATTACTATGGCAGAGTCACAGATCCAAGAGCCGGACAACAGCAACTGGCATGAAGAAGACGATGTCGTAGTTACCGACCAATCAGTTGGACTCCCAGAGACTAGAAGCTATAACCTCTACAATATTACACCACCATCTCTGAGAGAAAGAGAGGACTTGCACTTGTGGATTGACAAGATTGAGAGGATCCTGCAAGGTCACAACTTACACCATTTGGTCAACAAGAATATCCCATGGCCGATGCGACAAAGCACGAATGGCCAGAAGTGGAGGACCCTTTCGAAACGAGTGCGAAGCTGGTTGTCTAACAGTCTGGATAACAAGCTTATGCAAGAGATCAATAGTAGAGGAAACCCGACTGATTTTGCTGATGAACCTATGGAGGAGATCAATAAGCATATGAAAGTAGAGACTCATGGTGCTTTAAAAGCGGCCATGAGTAGCTTCCGAACAATCTCGCGGAAGCAATTTTCTACCAGTCAAGAGTTTATTGAAACTCTCAAAGCACAATAGATGACTCTGACGAATCTTAGGGCAGCAATTCCCCCATACTTTGCTTTTCAAACGATGCTTTTGGAGCTGATGGAGGTTCCAGAATTGAGAAGCTTCATCGTTGTCAAGGATAATGAAGTGTATGCAGTTGAAAACCCAGTACAGCATGTCACTATCATCGACTTTTATCGGTATAGCTCTGCAATTCAGGACTATATCAAGTTCACAAATGCCGATTCTCCAGGTCTTGTTTCTTCGGCAGTCAACAACAATGGAAGCAACAACAACATATGTCATATTTGATCAAATGAAAATAGAAATGTTTATGTCATCTATTTTGGACAGTACCTCCGCTTATCTCTTTTGGCTCGTGTTGTTGGGGAATGAACTATCTATGGGAACAAAACTGAGAGGTAGATATGATTACTTTTTTGCTTCAGCAAAGCAATCAGACCCCGTCATTCTGTACTCTGACACTTGTGACCAGTTACTGAGGTCAATGGCAACTAGCTCGAGTTTAAGAGAGAAGCTCTCTCCTCACGAACGATCGCCAACTGGTTATATATGTCAGAGTCCAGGGGTCAAAAACGGTGGTGTGTATTAATGGGTAAGAAACTGGTTTAAATACATGTGGGGCTCATGCCCTAGTAGCTATGCGCTGACACACCCCCTCAGCTTGCAGCCTTCAATCTATGTGCTCACCTATACAGTGTCCTTGTTTACTGTTATGGCGCATCATTATTTGACACTACGAGCTGGAGAACTGCGTGTAGCTAGTAGCTAGAAACTAATTATCGGCCCCGAGGGCTATGCCGAATATACCTATTGCGGAACTTCCTCTAAACCCTTAAACTCTGGAAGCACCTTCTTAATCTTAGTAAGGGTGGCTTTATCTAATTTCTCTCGAATGCGAGAGATAGTCGGCTAGTGTAGTTAGAAGCTTAGCGGTCGTATAGCTGGATTAAGGTAGAAGAAGCACCGCTAGAAAGAGTGTAGCTTACCGCATATATATCGCTACGGTTGTGCTTTGGGGTGACCTTACTACGTCGAAAATGCGCCTTTCGGTGCTTCGAGTGGGTGTCCTTACTCTATAGCTTAAAACTCTCGTTGTCCTTAGAAGATCCGGATTAATCGGGGTACTTTAATCTTACGTGACTGTTATGGGGCCGTCGTACTTCGTACGAAGCCCTATGGAAGATGCTTGCTTATGCTGCGCGGAATCTGCCAAACGTTACCGCCTTCGACGGAATATGTACACATTTGTTAGCTCAGGAGAACTCCTCTCCTCAACGAAACCTTCTTGTTCTTAAAACCCGTCTAAGTTGCACAACTAGGCTAGTTCCGTAACATTAGGTTTCGTTCGTCACCTTTATCGACGCTTAGTAAGGAGTTCCTACTAGTACAGAGTGAGAGACAAGATTAGAGTGCGCCAAAAACCGCAAAACCGCAAAACCAAACCGCCCCAAACCGCAAATGGTTTGGTTTTTGGGGCCAGTTTCAGAAACCATTGCGGTTTTTGGTTTTCGAGGCCCAAACCGCAATGGTTCTTGGGGCCCCAATGGTTTGGCAAACAATGCAAACTGGGTGGGTCCTTGTCAGTGTATAATTTATGCGGGTTTTCTCTGTTTCTTAGGGTATTTGACTTCGAAGATATGATATATGTGAAATAAGTGCTTTAGGCTTAGGCACTTGATTTCTGACCGCGGTCAGAAATATAGGGTTCTCTTATTATAGTACTAGCTTTTTGACCGCGGTCAGAAATTAGTGTAATGATTGAATTCGCTATCCTGTTGATCGCTAATAATACTGGTATAGATCCTCGTCATGTCTGATCCGTTTCCGAGCTCTTACAGAAGCACGTATCTGAGTGCTTTTATCTTTATTAGAAGGAAGGGGAGGGTCAGTATCATGATCGATCATAACCTGTATATCCTCCCTACCTTGCACCTCTTCCTCTTCCTGGGTTTACTCTTCCTCAGTATCACTAATCGGATCGACGTTCACTGTATCAGTTGTGATTTCCTTCTCCTCCTTTGCCGCTTCGATCTCGTCGCGAGTAAAGAATTCCTGTAGGAATACTGCCTGTTCCTCCTCGATCTCGAATTTTGAAGTACAAAGAAACATCATTAACTCCTGGATAGTTGTTGCACTTAATCTTCCACGGCGATAGTGACAGATATCTCGGGCAGTATTAAAAAGTCGTTCAACACCAGCACCAGTCGCAGGGACTGAAAGCACATCTCGTGCAAGGGCTGCAAGAGTTGGGAAACGATAGGCATTCTCCCTCCAAAACACTAAAGGCGCTATATCTATAGTAGCTTGTGGGATAATTAATATCATATAAAGCAAAGTAATTAAGGATACATACCACTATCAAGATATTGCGAAAGCTCATCGCCTGCTACAGCAGAGCGGGGACGCTTTGGCTTTACCATCGAGTCTAGGCGCGATATTCCTCCCCCTAACGAAAGAGATAGAGGAGACGTCGGTTGCTGGGCAAGACGTTCTTTATAAACAGCCAAATGCTCTTCAAGAGACTTTCTGTATATCGTACGCCAACGATCATCCCAATCATCTGTTTGGAAGAACTGGAATTTGTTCGCTGGAGCTAGCATTGTAGTGATTGCATAAAGATGCCCTCGTACGTTATCTGTCTCAGAGTAGTACTCATCAAGCTTCTTTCGCGCAGCTTGTAACGCCTGAAGCATCTGTCGCTTCCAGGTAGTCTTCTTCCGCGTAAGCTGGGTGATTGATAGCTCTAGGTGCTCAAACAGCTTGTTATAAATCAGAAATACATGATGTGTAGTGGCATCCCGGGTTTTTGAAAGTTCAACTGTGAAATCAAAGAAGGGCTGGGTAATGAAGAGAAGGTAGTCAACCTGGCGCCATTCTTCGTCCTCGAGTACCATATCAGGCCGCTCATACTCATCACAAAATGGCTGGAAAAACGATCGTAAGCGTTTTGCACGTCGAAGCATTAGAAACGTAGAATTCCAGCGTGTCTTAACGTCTTGAAGAGGCATAAGCTTTGTTGTTTCGCCTTGTAGATTGTAGAAGGTTTCCCGTCGTTGGGGACTTGCATTCACATAGATCGCAAGGTTTCGAATCTAGATATCGTAGTTAGTATAATATAAAAACTCTAGATTGTATAAATATATACCTTCGATAGTGTATTGGCAATATTTTGCTTAGTTGCATTCATACGCGCTGACTGGGATCGCTGCTCTGTCCACCGTGTCTCCGTTGATTCATTGAGCGGGCAAGCCTTAATATACCCAAGAAGCTCATTAAGGCTCAGCTGAATCACATGGGCAAGACAAGGGACCCTAATAAGGGTAGTGTCTTCTGATATTGCTTGTTGTAGTGTATCAACCAATGTCTGGTTATTTGATGCATTGTCAGTCGTGATTGCGAAGACCCGATCTTCGATCTTATGTCGCAAAAGTATATCGAGGAGTACAGAACTTAGGTTCACACCAGAGTGTGATCCGTAAAGGGGTTCAAAGCCGAGAAGAACCTCACGGTATTGCCAGTCCTTATCGATAAAATAGCCAGTTATAGCCATAAATGCCTGTGTGAAAGGCGAGGTCCAGCAATCAAGAGCAATTGATATTTTTGTATCTTCTGGGAGCATTCTTAGAATTCTTTCCTGTTGTTGTTGTACGGAGGATTGTAGCCGGCGTCGTATAGTCTTTGCTGAAGGGATATCCGGGACCCTCGGTGCAGATTGGGCTATCTGGATTAAGCGATGAAACTTAGGATGCTCGATCAGCCGAAAGGGAAGACGCGCGACCGTAAGAAATGTAAGAAGCTCTTGTTCCCATATCTCTTGACTGAATTCATTGGCGATCGGCGTATTCTAGTTATAGTCTAGGAATTAGACTAGAACTAATTATAATAATAGACGAGAAACATACCTTGAGCTGTAAAAATCGAGTGATATCTGTCCCTTGACCTTGGGTAGCTTTTATACACCCTGCGCTAGAAAGGTGGCCTTTCATAGTTGAGGTTCCTTGACGCTGTTTCTTCCCATCTTTTGTCTCACGGACAAAGTTTGGGTGCTCAAGAATCTGTCCACAGCGCTTGCACATAACCTTTGCAGTACCATCAGAGCTATGGGCGACCTGGTGAAATGTGTCCCAGGTACTAGACTGATGTTTCGCGTCCCAGGATATATGTTGTTTCTTACCGAAGCCTGTCTCTAGCCACCAACTTACCCAGTCGTTATGGAGCATTTCGTCATAGAGAAAATAGACCTTCTTACGACCAGGGCCAACACGTGTGAATGTTGAAGGGATTGATGGAGGTAGGGACGGTCGGAGGAAGTCCGTTTCGAATGAAGGTAATGTTTCCTGACTCTCAGATAGATCAGATATAAAAGGATGATTGTGAGTATAATTGTCGAAATCACTATCGTAGATCGATGAGGAGAAGGCAGATTGCTGGGTTTGAGACATGATGAGTATGAAAACACAACTACTAATGGTAAATACTAAGAGGGAAGGGTCAGACTTACATAAATTATACAGATTCTAACTAACTATATAGACGCGACTGACAGGACAACAAAGGATTCCTAAATAAGTGGATATATCGCGATTTAATTAGTATACTAAGCCGCTAATTGGATAACAGTAGCTTACTATATGGGTCAAAACCGCAAGAAACCATCAAGAAACCGCAAAAAACCAATAAAAACCGTAAGAAACCATTAAAAAACCGCAAGAAACCGCAAGAAACTTTAAATCATTTTTCCGCCGAAAGCTACCTCGAAAATTGAGCCTAAGGCAGCAGCTATATCAAAGTCTCAACTAAATAACTAAGTGACTTTAAACTAATTTTACAGTCTATAAACTAAGGAGTTATTATTGAAATAGGATAATATTTATAAAAAGGATAATTCGTAATTGATTAATATAAGTTATAATATTATAATACCTTTATTTAAAAAGTTGTAGGGAAACTGTAGTGATCAGGGAAAGATATATATTAAACTGTTATATTGAATATATATTTCCGCGATAAAATATAGAAGAACATCTAAGACCCAACAATTTCTCCTTTTTATTATCCATATAATAGGCTGATACTAGTACTAGTTAAGGCTTAGGCTCTACCCACGTAGTATATTTCTGACCGAGGTTAGAAACAAATGCTACCGCCCACGCGGATATAAAGTATAGTTGTGACCAATACAAGGTTAAATAACAGTAATATATTAGCATGAGTCACCCAGTTTATGTATGCCAAGACCTCAATTTTATACAAAAATGGTTTTTGTTGGGGCCCCATTGGGGAACCGC